GGATAACAATTAAAAATTGAAAAGACTCTGGAGAAACACAATTGTGTGGTCTCATGAAGGCTGTTTACCTGCCTATCTGAAGTGTGTCTGAGGAATATCTGGTCTCTTTCATTTAGTAAAGGTTACTGTTATTGTAGATTTATGTATTTCTACTTGATGAGCAGCATTGTTATAGAAGTAAAGGCCTGAAAACCAAACTCCAAATTCTCATTTAGTATGTATTTTCTCCCTTTTTTTCTGTCTTTTCTTACACCTTCATCATCTAAGGTGGTGCTGTTGTGTGGTGATTGCAATACTGGTCTCTATGCTCATCTCTCAGAGATAGCTGAACCTTACCCAAAGAAATTTTCTGTCCTATTTTTCAGACTTCATCTTAATTTTATTTTCTTATGTTGCTTCTTACTTTGGCACACAAAATAACTTTCCTTACAACAATCAATATAGTTCCACCAATTTGAAATGTGGGAAAAGAGAGAAAATTGATTAGTGGGAGGTATTAACAATTCCATTGCATGCTGCTCTAGCGCACTGGCTCTCTTAACACTTAAGTTTCTGAGCCAAAGGCTTTGTCTTTCAAAAGGCAGCAGGGTGCTCAGGCACAAGGTGTCTCTCTTCTTGTACATGCCTCAAAGATAGCTGAAGGGAAAAAAAAAATCATATTCAAACTTTTGTCAGCATTATTGACTGAAGTGTCACAGGTTGCCTGTCTCTTGCAGAAGTGTGGAAATTACATTGTTCTGTCTCTGATCACAGCATGTTGCCACAGAATATCCAATATCACTGACATCCTGGCAGAGCAGTAGGTTAGTAGTAGCTGTCTCATTTCCTCATTCTACTTCTTAATGTTCCAGGGTTCATTGGTCAGTTTTTGGTAGTATTTTTCCCTTTTTGTTTTTTTAAAATATTTTCTCCTTTCCCAAAGAGACTATCAAGGAAAACAGAAGTTCCACTATTTGAATGCTATTTTCAGATGTATATCTTCTGGTCCTGCTTATGATAAAATTCAGGCTGCAGGTATAGCTGAGCACAGTGTCTTTTCAGATTTTGTGAGAAATTTCCATTTTTGCTTTTTTTTATTTTCTTTCACCATGAAATGATCTATCAGCAGCCTTTTTTTTGGTCCTTTTATGATCCTTGGGTCTTTTCCTTTGTGCTTTTCCCCCCTCCAAGTATTCTGGCAGCTGATGTGTTCTTTACAATCAATATAACTGTCCTTCATCTCCACTGCCCAAAAGGTGGTCTTTTTGTAACTGTTCTTATTATTTAGTCATTCTCTTTTTAAAACAGGCATTCAGTTCATACTCTTTATTCTGTGCACATTCACCACTTGCTAAATGGAGCGTGTCCCACCTAGAAAAGACTGTCCCTCCTGCAGAAATAGATTCCTTGCTTTTTTTGTGTCTGTACTGCCTGCTCCTGATACAGCATTGCACACCAGTGGGCCTGTTCTTCAGATAATTAGATTTACACAGATAAAAATAACTTCAACAAAAAAACAATTGCTTTGCAGATTGGTAGGGGAACTTTCAAATGGGATAGTTTTCTTCTGAGAAAAAAAAAAACCAAAACCACCAAAACCTGTTCAGAGATTTCTAGATGAATTTTCAAAACCCTTTAGATTATGGTATTTAGCACCAAAAACTGGCCAATTCAGATTTTGATTTGGTACAGTATTTCAGCAGGTATTTCCAATGTTACGTCTTTTGTATGAGGAAATCACTGCAAGCCATGAAACTTCTGCAACTTCAGTAAAGCTGCTCGAGATCAAGCATTTTTTCTGAAGTGGAAAGAAGATTAGAAATTCTGTATTTCATGTCAGTTAAAATATGTTTAATTAAAATCAATTTTGATGATTTTTGCTGAAGTACAAAACTTTGCACTGTAGGAACTGGTTATGTATATTTTTTGGTTAATTTTTAATTCAAAAGATCTTCCAGATACCACAAGAGAACAACATCTCTTAATGCTCTCTCTGTTTTCATGACCATTAACATCTTTCTGGTGAGAAAATAATATGTGTTACTTGGAATGAAGATGACTGAGTGCAGTTTACAGGCCTGAGATAATATTAACAGCTCTGTGCTGTGAGATTTGGGCCTCCTTGGGCATTCTGTACTATGTACTCTGTGCAGGCTTTCCTCCAACTGATCTGGACAGGCAGCATGTACCTGACAGCAAACTGCATATAAAGATGATGCAATCTGATTGCTGGGTCTACGAGGATATTGCTGCTGAATAAAAAGTGTTTGAAGGAGGGGAGTTTGAACTCCCATGGGAAATCCAAGCCTGCTATCTTCTGTCTTCAGTGGCTGATGTGTATGAGCAGGATTCGATTGGAGCTCCAGGAGCCTGTAGGGTCAAAACAGCTTCCACGAACAAAAAGTCAGAAGTGCAACCCCATGCTTTGGGTTTCATTCCAGTTCCTCATTGGAATTTCTGCCTTTCTCTTCTGGAAAAAAAATCTGTAGGTACAAGGGCAGAGGTGTTGGGTCCTCTGGATCTGTGTAGCAATCTGTATCATCATAAAATTGTTGAGTAGTCTGGGTTGGAAGGGAGCTGAAAGATTTGTAGTTCCAACCCCCCTGCCACAGGCAGCAACACCTGCTAGACCAGGTTGCTCAAAGCCTCATCCAGCTTGGCCTTGAATGCTGCCTGGAATCAGGCATCTACAGAGTCTCTGGGCAACTCATCCCAGCGCCTCAACACCCTTACAGTGAAAAATTTCTTCCTAACATGAAATTTACACCTGCCATTTTTCACTTTTAAAGCTATTTCCTTTGTCTGCCTGCCCTTGTACAAAGATCCTTTCAGTGTGGTTGATGGTTTCAGGTAAAGCAGACATGAATGGCTTATTTGGGCAGCCAGAAATTGCTGGGTATTAGAGTAGCTGTAACATTTGCCTGCTTCTTGGAGCATCTATAGGAGCCAGTTTGTATTGTATTCCCTAACCCAGTGGATCATCTGGTAGTGCTGCATTCTTTTGTTTTCTGGTGATCTGTAGCTTTCCAGTTTTCTTGACTGTCATCAACAAGTATCTTCTCTTTGCTACATGAAAATAGAAGTTTACTGATTATTTTGTAGCTACAATAAGGCAAATATGTAATTTATGTTGCATTCCTCTGTTCTCCAGGAATGACAGTACATTTTTCTTTTCTCACAGTTTCTCTGATTCTCGGTTGATTTTTTTTTTTTTTTAAATTGGGTTATTTAATCTTTAACCAGCCTCAAGGTTTTCTTCTGCTGGGTCTACTATTGAGAAAAAACAGCTTATTTTGTCTTCTCTTGAATTTTGCTTCTTTCATCATACTGCTGTTCCTTCTTGCTCTGTCTACCCTCAGTGACTTAATTATATTCTTCTAAAGGAGAGCTCATATGGAGTTGAAAAATTTTAATTTTATATGTTCAAGCCTTTGCATCTTGTGTAGGTAAAATTTTTATAAAGATCATTTGAGAGAAAGATCACTCTCTAAAGTTTGCAAGTTTCCCAGTACTGTAACATTTCAAAACGTAGAGTTTAGCTATATTCCAGTTTCTGTGGCATAGTGAAGGAACTGTAACTCCTATGGGAAGTGATACAGAAGAATGGTTTCTGATTTTCTTGAAACCAAGTAGTTTATGATCCAGAACAAGCAATTAGAAGATGCATTTATTTAACATGTCAGGAAACTTAGTTTCTAAAGCTTGTCCTGTTGTAATAGTTGACCAGTGATTGCATGAGTGATCTCCTCCTCTTCTGGTTTTGTTGCCTACTTAAATGTGTTTAAAAGCAGTGCATAACCTGCTGCAGAAACATGTGTTTCAACAAATATTCTTTCAATCTTCTTGAACTTACCTACAATTCTGGTAATAATTACATCCTATTTGTCTTATAGTTGAAACGTCAGTTTCTCTTTATATCTTTAAGCATTGACGCTGTTTTACATCTGTTAAAATCTATTATTTTAGGATGGTTTTGTTATCAAGTGATCTCTAATTGGGTGGTAAATCCTCCTTCCAGTAAGATCACCAAAAAAACTCTTTAATGCTCAAGAAGTTTCTGTGCCTTCTGTACTCAAGATACAGCCTTGACAGTAAGCAAGGATATTCCTTATTTCAGACTATGGCTATTCCAAGATGTTCAACATCAAAAAGTTTCTTTGAGCCCTATAATTTCCTTCTACACAAACAGCCACTGGAGTCAGAATTCATTATTTTTTTGAACTACTTCCAAATGAACTATGTGTGTTGTTCTCCTTCAATTTTCAGCATTACAGATGAACAGCTATGCCTCTTGGTTACTTAAGAGCCATCAGATGTACTTGCATCTTTCCTGACCTAGATCACACTCATTTGAAGAAGAGGTTTGCTTCATTCCCTGAGAAAGGAAGGTTTTAGTAATGCTAGAAGTAAGCAGTGCTATGAAGATACTGAATTTGGTACAAAAAAATCTTTGATATGTACCTGTCAATAAGTAGCTCATTGGAAGCATTTTAATCTTCAAGACCAAGGACTGAGATAACAATATTTGTTATTTGCAAAGCTCAGATTTGATCCTTCATACAGTTCTTGCCACTGCTGTTATCAAGACTTGGTGCTTAAGGCATGATTTGATTGGAGAATTCTTCAGGCTGGCAATTTAGACGATCCTGTCTCCCAGTTTCATTTCTTACCACTTCTGCTTGTTGTATGGAATCTTGTTTTTTAGGATGGGAGGAGACAGAAATTACAAAGGTCTAAATTACGTACTAGTAATTGTCTTTGTCATAGTCTTGTTTTCTGCCATCCTATCTTCCTCCTCCTTTCCCCTTTTTACATTCTGCTGACTTTCTCCATAATAGTATATTTCCTTAATCTACAAAATTTTTCATATCTTTTTTTTATGGACTGCAAAGGGGAGAAAGGGTGGAAGTTTTCTGTATGCAATACCCCTGTGATTGACAGTCTTTTTGCCTCCTGCTTCCTAGTAGGTAGATAACGCTTGCTGTATGGGATCTTGTTTTGTAGGGTGGAAGAAGAGGGAGGACTACAACAAACACAGATAGTGGTATGTAATTTTCCCTTTCTCCTTGTCTCTCCCTACTTACCAGCCTTAACACAGAATTTTCTCAATCACATGGTGATACCTTGTGCTGTTGTTTGCTGCTTCTCATAAAAACACATCTTCCCAGTTTTTGTTTGTTGAATCCCTTGCAGCATTTTAAGAAAGAATGTTGCACAGCACAAAGGTAGTGAATCAGACTGTGCTTACTCTTGGACACAAATTGACTGAACTTAAACTGAGCAGGTTCTATAGCACATTGCAATATGAGATGTCTTCTAGTCATCCAGTGTCTTTAAAAAGATTGAACAGGCTGTATAGGGGGATTTCAGAGAAAACAGCTGTGATGGGGAAAGAGTAATCATCCTATTTAAACTAAAATCAGCTACATGCATAGACTGTGCTATCTTTTTGAAAAGCTAATGCAATAGAGCCGATAGAGAACTGCCTGATTTTCTGCTTCAAGTTTCATCAAAATGTTGTAAACGTAAATTCTAATTGCAGAATCTTATTTTGAATGACAGAGGGAGATGATACTCAGCTAGGCATAATACAGATTATCTAGAGGTAAAGGGATCGTTTTTGTAAAATAAAGGGAAAGATTGCTATTAGACAGAGAAATTGTATTATTTCTAAGGATAGGACAGCACTTTAAAAAGTAGTGTGTTGTGTAGTGTTTGAATGTTTCACTCAAAAATTCAGAAGTTATTCAAAAGTCATTGTCATTTGTTGTGGGTTTTGGTGAGAGTTTTTTCTGCCAAAAAGTTCTCATTTCTGCCCTCTCGTTAAAAAGGTACAAGTTGTTTATCAAAGAGATACATAAAACATCAGAGCTGTAGGAAAAAAAAAAATTATGGGGAAAATGCTTTATTGAATTCAGTTATCAAAAGGAATAGAGAAAAGCAAATGATGTGTCAAAAACGTGTTTCAAGGAAGATATGATCTTCACTAGACCAATTTTTCTTTGCATTGTTCTGGATTGTTGGTTCACTATTGACTGAGAAGGAACATGTCTTCTCAGTGAATCATTCCTAGTTTCTATGACACCCCTAAGATCTGCACAGTACAGCTACTGCAAAAACAAGTCATATTTTCAAGGTCTGAATAGCTGTGATAATTAGGAAACAAGAGCTGCATTTGTATTCACTATGATGATAGGAAAGCTTTTCCATTCCAGTTGAAAACAAAAGAACACAGTAAATTCTCAGCAGCAGAGTGAATCTGCTCTTCTCTTGGTAACAGCACATAAGGGATCAGATCCTGTACATTAACTTATCTTCACAGATTGTGTGTTAAAAAAACTAAATGGAAAAGGTAGAATAAATTTCATCTGTCTGATACTCAGTAAAATAGTTGGTTTTTTTTTTCCTGTGAGAAAAACATGTTATAGTGGATTACTTTAATCCTCAGAATGTTGTTACTGTTAATGGACTGACACAATGCCTGTGATCAAGATAATTCTTTTCTTTCTACTGTGAAACTAGAAACAATGGATGTGATCTCTCTGTGCTTGGTCCATTTAAGAGGAATGTAGTGGGTTGACCCTGGCCGGATGCTGGGCACCCATCGAACCCTTTCTATCACTCCTCTCCACAACTGGACAGGGGAGAGAAAATAAAACAAGAGTTTCATGGGTTGAGTTTAGGACCAGGTGACATCACTCCCCAAATGCTATCACAGGCAAAACAGACTTGGGGGATATTAATTGAATTTATTACTAACAAAATCAGAGCAGGATAATGAGAAGTAAAAGAAATCTTAAAAATAACTTTCCTCCCAATCCTCTCTCCCTCCCAGCTCTACCTCCTACTCTGCAGCAGTGCAGGGAGATGGGGAATGGGGGTTATGGTCAGTTCATCACACGTTTCTGCTGCTGTCCAGGGAGAGGAGTCCTTCCCCTGCAGCAGCATGGGGTTCCTCCCACAAGAAGTTCTCCACAAACTTCTCCAGCATGAGTCCATCCCACAGCCAAGAGTTCTCCATGAACTGCTCAGATATGGATCACTCTTCCATAGGGTACTGTCCTTTGAGAACAGGCTGTACCACTGTGGGTCCTCCATGGGGTCACAAGTCCTAGCAGGAAACCTGCTCCAATGTGGGCTCCTCTCTCAATGGATCTGCAGGTCCCAGACTGGACCCTGCTCCAGCACAGGCTTCTCATGGGTTCACAGCCTCATCTCAGGCATCCACCTGCTGCAGTTTGGCTCCTCCAGGGACTGCAGGTGGATCTCTGCACTCCCACTAACCTGCATGGGCTGCAGGATCACAGCTCCCTCTCCATGGTCTGCACCAGGTGCTGCAGGGGATCTCAGCTCCAGCATTTGGAGCACCTCCTCCCCTTCCTTCTTCACTGACCTTGGTGTTTGCAGGGTTGTTCTTCTCATTATCTCTTCTCAGAGAGCAGTTGCATCTGCACAATACTTTTTTTTCCTTCTTCAATATCTTATCACAGAGGCATTACTATAATTCCTGATGGGCTCAGGCTTGGCCAGCAGTGGGTCCATCCTGGAACCTAAACTGACATTGCCAACATGGAGCAAAACTACTCCATCATGGTGGAAAATGAGTCCCCAAAGTGTATCATTTAAATAATAACTGTATATTGTGGAAAAATACGAAATAAGATGATAAAGAACTAATTAAAATCTAGAGGTTTTGTACCGATGGCATTTGGAAAAAAAAAGTTAATTGCTTTTATTATTAATGTTATTCATAACATTATCATTAATTTTCATTATAACTTTTTTGCATAGACATGACACATATTGAATAGACCTGTCTGTTTGATAGAAAATGCATGGGCTACTAAGATGTCAACAATAATGGCACTTTAAAGGTTTCAAAAGGATGAATAATTACTGTGGATTAAGTTCTATTTGAGCTGAGTGCAGAGGGGTTGGGTTTTTTCCTTTTTTTTTTTTAAAGGGATTGTGATTCAGCTACATAATCAAAAAAAATCACCTGTCCATGCAGAATAAAATATTGTTTAAATTTTAATTTCAAGAGTTGTTTCTTGGCCTAGAGTGGAGGGGCCCACCACCTCCAGGTTATATTGGTACACAATATCTTTGCCTTGGCATGTGGATGAAAGATATTGTAATGGGAACAGGTGTGGAGCAGTGATTCTTTTACCACTTGCAGTGAAGAGGAATAGAGGTGCTTGGGGACTTTAGATAGTCCTTGGTAACTCTGCATCACTTAGAAAACTGTGCTAGCAGCGAAGACACCAGTATCCATTTTGTCTGGTTTGTGAATGAAAAATATATGTTACAGTATTTCAGTCTTGTATTTTCTGTTTTCTGCATAAAAAATTGTGCAACAATGCTCTTAATGTGGTGAATTATATACATACTTTGCTAAGAATACAAAACCCTTTTAAGCAATGCTTTCCTGTGGGCATAAATAAATGCTTAGTAGCAGGTGTGTGGGCGTATTTTCTTCCATTTGCTAGATTCTCATAATTTTTCTGTTATAGGTAATGAAATAGAGCGCTTAAGTATACTGAGGGTTAGGTTCTGAGCCTGAATACTTACAAGCATTTTGAAGTTAATTTAAAAAAAAATTCTAGTTCTTCAGTCATATTGAATTTTTTCAGGGTTAGTTAGAAAGATGTCCTGATTCGAATTGCATTGGTACCTGAAAATTGCTATTCTGTTATAACAAATCAGATTAATAGGGGTTCTATGCTGATGCCTATTTTGCAGTTGATACATACTTTTGGTTGGCTTTTCTTTGACCCATAGCTTAAAATTTTCTTGTCTTATGGTAAATATATCGTGTTTTATTTTACAATTTGATTGTTGCCTATAAAATAAATTTTGCTCCTCTGCTTCTGACATTTTAGTTTAAAATTACTATAACAAGTTTGTAAATATTCCCATCCACTTTTATCCTGCTTTTTTCAAGTTATTTATAATTCTCATTAGCAGTAGTAAGAGTAGAGTTTTCTCTACTCTTTTCTATCTGTTAAACTCTGAGATGGGATTATGGAGATACTGTGAAGAGAAAATTGTTAGTCATGGACTTGATGTCCAAACAAAATAGACATCAACCAAAAAGAAGCAGCCTTCTTATGCAACTAATTCCCAAGAAAGGAGAATTGGTAGAATGTTAGCTTTCCCAGGTTTGAGGCAAACCTGTAGTGCATGGGGAAGCAAACCCAAACCATTCTATTATTCTCTCAATCTATGAAATTAACTCCAGTCTAATTCTGCTAATAAAAATAAAAACAATTAAAAAAAAAAAAGTTCATGCCGTTGCTTCCTTCATATTCCAGCACTGCTGACTTTTGTGAAGCTGTGTCTGACCTGCCCACCAGTGCTGGAGATGACTGACACACAGGGTTATGATTCAGCTTACCTCCCTTTATCCTGACTGAGGTACAGAGCTGCTTATTCATGCTCAGTAGAGAGAGACTGGCCCTACCAGAAGCTGATCCTTCCAAACAACCTGAGCACAGTTAGATACTTGTCTTAACAGTATTCTTATGGCTCAGGAGTGGTAGATTATTTCACAAATCCATTCAAGAAATATATAGCTCCAAAGTTCTGCTGGTTTTCTTCATGTGACTTACAGATAATTTATTCTTCCTGTGTAAATGTGTGTATTAAATTTTCTCTACAAATGAGACTCGAAGATGTAAAGTTTCTCATTTCAACAGATCACATTTTTCCCGAAGAATTATACACTTTATAATGGTATGTAACATAAAGAAGGATTAATGATCTTCAATAAAAGTTAGATTCCTTTACTTTATAAAGAAAAAACCCCAGACTTTATCCTTTTGTCTAAGGAACTCCATGCTATCATTCTGTTTTCTGGTTAGGAAATTGGTAATAGTCTTCTTCATAGACTATGACCTTCCCAAAGTTATCTTACACATGCCAAGCTCTCTAAAAAGTGAAACTAGATATTTAATTGTGAATCTTCTTCTCAGTCTTTTCAAAAAAATAGTTAATATCATATTTAATGAATTGGCAACATATTTCTTAAATAATATAAAAAAA